TCTCGATGTGTACTCAGCAGTAAAATTTTCCAAGTTTGGCATGCATGAAGTGTTCAAACCAATTATGCCTCATTGTATCCTTCATCCTTAACTTGAAGAGGTACCAGGATATGATCAATACATCTATATCATTATGTATCAGTAATCCAGGAAAATGTCAAGATTGCTTTTTCTTTTCATTGTGGATCATTTTGTGGACTACTTGGCCAGTAAATCAGATTGACTAGCCAACACAGTACGGTTCATTGGGTCACCATATGTGATGCTTGAAGGAGATCTAAGAGTTACCTGAAAAATAAGATGTGCATTGGAAAGAACAAATTCCTACTGGTAGAGTTTGTTTTTTAGTGGTAATGCCTGTGTCTTCAAGAATAAAACTTGATACTGTCCTATGATATCCTTTTCACTGTTTGATGAGTTTCCTTACACATGCGTGATCATAATGAGTTGTTTCTGGTTACAGCGTTCTTTATAGAGTAACTTGCGTGAATCTTATGGCATTACTCTCATTTATTGATTGAAGATGTACAGCATTCTTTATGTTGTAAATTATGATAATCTTATTGCAGTACTCTCATTGATTGATTGAAGATGTGACAAGTTTTGTGGTTGATGTGCTTTCAAGTTTAGTATGACCTTGAGTTCTTTATTGTTGTTTGAGATGGCAATTATCTTCGCTCTTCCTAATGTTGTGATTTCTGTACTTGGCTGCGGCTATCCTTCATCTGCACTGCTCAGTTGATGTGATGAAACCTGGTACAACTGTCATCCTGCGAAATGCAAAGATTGACATGTTCAAGGGAACCATGAGGCTAGCTGTTGACAAATGGGGCCGAATTGAGGTCACCCAGCCCGCTGAATTTGATGTGAAAGAGGACAACAATCTCTCTCTTATTGAGTATGAGCTGGTGAATGTTGTTGATGAGGAGTAACAGAGATCTTTCAAGAGTCAATCTTAAACATGTTAAGGTTACATAGTAGGAGTCATTTTCTTATCTAGTTTAATACAATACAGTTACATCCTTATCTGGATATGACAGTTTCAAGGTGGCAAAAAGTTTCTGGGAATCTTTGGTGAACCATCTTCCTCCTTTATGAGTATGGCTGTCGTAGCTGGGAGTTTGGCAGGCAAACTTTTTTTCTGTGGATATGGAACTGTAGAAAAGAAATATTTTGTTGTTATATTATGCTCTCTTAAAATACATTTGTGTTATCTAAACTTGGTTTTTGCATGACCTATCTTTAACGACGGTTGTTTTTTTTTTTTTTTGGGCTGGGGGCCCGGGAAGAGAGGAGGGAAAAGAGGAGAAGGGGGGGGGGGGGCTGAATTTGAAAGCCGAAAAGAGATTGTTTGAGTAGGAAGTGGCGCTGTTGGTGTTCAGTTTGGACGATATAGTTGCTCTTTATGGGTCTAACTCATTGAAGAGAGCCATCAAGGACGACAGTTCTTGGATTGTAAATGATATAAAAGTACGCTTCCATCGCTCGGCTTGCTGTAAAATGTACTGGTCTTTTAGTGCTTCAATCTTTAAGCTCGTATGGCAGTTTCAGTGTTACACCTTTGGCATGTTAAATGATTATAAAACTCAAGACAAGATGACGGGAAATGGTACCCAAAAGAAAAATGTTAAAAGAAATACCCCAGGCTGAGGCACTGCACCACTGAATACTCTATTCAGATTTCCTGGTGGAGGAGAAAAATGCGTCTACTTTCCAAAGAATTATTTGATTGTGGTGGCAGTGGATAAAGGTTGACGAGTAATGGATATCTTTTGTTAGTTTAAAGTCTAGAGAGTTTAAACGGATGTTATCAAAATCAACGTATAAATGAATAGATAAAAAGTTTATATGCATGAATCAAGTGATAGAATGGTCTCCCTCTCCTGCTCTGCTCGTCAGCCACTCAGCCTACGGTGTTAGGGATAATTTCACAAATTTCCCTTGAAGTTTTTGACAATTTCACTTGGATTTCCTCTAATTTAAAAAATTACACTAACTTCACTTTTCGACTTAATGTCAACATCAAAAGGCATAAACGGACACAAATACCCTCAAGAGAAATAGCTGTAGAAAAACTATAAATCAACAAACACGCTATTGGGTTTCATTCTTTTGTTAGATATAATATGTGTAGCTAGTGATGCATAATTGAGAATACCACGCAAGAAAGTTAGAATAAATTAGAAATACATTTATTAAATTCTACTCCAATCCAATTAAATTTTGATGGTGTAAAGTTTTGGTGGAATATTTCAATATTTTGGATGACTTTTGTTAAATATTTCAATAGTTGGTTAAATATGAAATTTAATGGTCAAAGATGGGCACCTGGGCTCCTCGGAATTGATGATATTATTTATTATTGTTATGAATTTCATAATAATGTTATTTTTCTATTAGTATACTTAATAGTTGCAGTTATAGTTGGCTGCTAATAACCTTCTAAAATACGTGTTTATTAGCGAAGAGTGGCCTATTTAAAAAGAGATGAAAACTCATTAAAGGATGCCTAAAGTGCTACAAATTAAGGGTTTTAGAATCATTTTAATACTTCTCATTCTTCTTCTTTTCTTAATCAAAACAAAACTCTTTTTAGTCATTCTTGGGAAATTTTAGTTTGGCTTTTAAATGATGAAGAATGTCATCATTTGTTTGTCGAGCACTAACATAATGGGGACACGAACTGTTAAAAATAGCATCGTCACCTGCGAAGTCTAATTTTACATTTTGTTCTTTACAATTTTTTACTAAAACATCATCAAGACTTTGCATCTTTGGGTTCGGTGTACAAACCAAAAGATGCCATTTAGCACTTAGCACAGCCCAATCCTGCTTCTTATTTTAAGATTTATTCGACGCATTCCTTTGTGAAGATTCGACGGAGCAAAAAGCAAAGATTTGAAAATCCTCACATGTAAAATGTTGCTGGAATCATTAGTGAAATCTTGGCTCCATACAAGCTATACAGGTAAAAAAAAAAAGGTAAGTTTTTGAATTTGATGTTTGCATTTACAAGTAGAATGAGTTCATTTTTTTTAGTTAAAAATGTTATCTAATTTCTTTTGGACTTATAAGGGTAAGCCTCGAATAAAAATTTGCTAGTATTAATGTCAGCATTTTAGGCGACTCTATCTCATAGGGGCTAGGGGTGTGCAACGAATTCAAATTCGGTAATTCGAAAATTTGAATTCGGAATTTTGGAATAGGAATTATCGACCGATTTCGATTTTGAATTCAATAGTTCTGATTTCGGTTTCGATTCCGCATTCAATTCAGAATTCGGAAACCTTTTTTCCTTTTTGTTAGATGTATTGTTATATAATATAAATTTTATATTACATATATTATAAAAATATTATTATATATAAATATATATTAATCTATATATTATAAAACGAATTTGAAATAAAAAAATATTATTATAATTATTATATATATTTATAAAACGAAATTGAAATAAAAAAATATCATTATATATAAATAAATGTATATTAATATATATATTTTTGTAAAACAAATTTGAAATCGGAAATTTCGATCTCGATTTCCAATTTCAAAAACTCCATTACCGAATTCAGTGCCAAATTCCAAATTACCAATTTCGAAAATTTCGAATTCAGTCGGTAAATCGAATTTTTTCGATTTTGCATACTCCTAATAGGGGCTGATTTTGTTACTAAACTTGTCAATCAAAGGGAAGTTATTGAAAATTTTCAAATTAGAAAACATTTAAGTGAAGTTATCAGAAATTTTAGGAGAGTTTTCTAAAATTACACGGTTTACACCTTAAACTTATTTCTTTATCATGGCATCCAAATGAAAGAGTTGAAGGGGGAGGGATTGGGTTGGGTGATATAAAGGAAAAAAATATAAGTCAGAGATCTCGAATCAAAACCTTTCATCTACATTAAAAAAAAAAAAAAGAGTTGAATGTGACAGTGCATCCAACTTTCAAGTGATTATAAGTAAATATGCATATATCCTAGGTATAGGTTTGTTTGTATATGATCATATTTGCTAAAAAAACTTTAATTGTATTGTAAACATGTTTTTTTAAATATTTTTAATCATATTTTTTTTTCACATATATCACATTATAAAGGTTACTACAGTGTTATTTCAAATAAAATTTCAAATAATCTCCTATCCAATTACATTACATACTAAACGCCAAGACAATGAAAACATTTATGAAGTGCTCAAAACATTTGAAACTTCCCAAAAAACAAACACTCCTATCCAATAAGAGCCAAACTTTGCAATTGGCTAGTCATAAATCAAATTCAACTCTATAGTATTTTACTAGTAAAAGTGGCTTGTAAGATCATAATAAACATAAGTTACATGTAAAAAATTTTAATATGGCGCAGAGTTCTTCCCAAATTTTTTTTTTTTGGTTTAAGTAATATGGAGCAAAGGCGATACGATAACTTATTAAGAACTCGTGTTTAAACTCGAGTACCTTGTTGTTATTCTTGTCATGTTATTACAAGTTGATCTCAATCTTATTTGAAAAGTTCTTACTGATGAATGAATATTATTCCTTTGTTCATAAAAAAAAAATTGAATCTTAAAGCTAACTGTCAAGAATGCAACTGAATTGGCTGTTTTCTTCACAAAAATGAAAAACTAACAACAGTTAACGATCTCTCCCGATGGGCACAGGTGTGAGGCAATAATATGTGAAGGTACTCAGTAGTTAATCCTACTGATACTACCCATCCCATTGAAAAGTGTTTTTTTTTTTTCCAAACGATAACACATTGAAAAGTGTTTACCATGGTCAAATATCAATCTCGATGGCTAAACCCCTTTCAAAATTTCAGTTCTCCAAATTAGGCGCCATTCCAACTTTAATACAACGAACCCCTTTTTAAACTTCCGAGGGCATTATTGTCATTAAACAGTACAGCTTCCAGAATCCAAGGCGGGTTAATAATTAAAGATTTAAAGCTGCCTGCTTTGATTTTTTAAATGAGAACAGTTACTTTTTTTTTTTTTAATTCCTTTCTCTCCTTCTTCTTGCCTTCCTTTACTCTATCTCCACGTCTCTCCGCAGTCCTCTCTCTTAGAAAATGTTATCCGGTTTTTGATTTTTTCCAGAAGGGTTTTTAGGTTAAAGGATAGTAGTCTTGTTTTTGTTTCAGAAAGGGCTTTACTTTCTTCATCGATTGCTACATTCCTTGGGTGAAGTTGCAGAAAGGAAAGAGCTATGGCGAAGTGCAGGCCCTTGGGGTTCTTGATTAGCTTGCCTTTTGCATTGCTTTCATTGATTCTAAGCCTTGTCGGTGCCGTTGTTTGGGTCATCGGGTCCGTTTTTCTCTAACCATTTTTCCTCTATTTCATTGTTTTTAACATTATTTTTTCATGTTAGTTTCTTGAATTATCTGCACCATCTCTTCAGTTGGCACATTATTTCAATATGATAAAAAGTTCAATCATTTTTGCTCTTTATGCACGATTTTTATTTGATTGATGGCATCTTGTATTCCATTCTAATGTATTTAAACTAGGTTTCAAGCTATAATTTTGATCTGTAATTGCTGTTTTCTGTTTCTGCATGTTCATGGCTGGAACCCAGCTCCCTTGACTTTCCTTGAAATTTGATGAATCCATGGCATTGCCAGTACACATTTAGGAAAAGAGGAGTCCTTTTCCAGCTTTCTTTGGTTTTTCCCTTTCTAGTGTTTATATTGATCTTGAATCTTGATTTTTATATCAGGAAATTTTTGTTACAATACGTTTAATTTTTGTAATGGCAGGTCTTTCTTGAGCTGCATTTGCCCTTGTTGCATTTGTTGCACTGGATTGGTGAATATGGCTGTAAGTCTGGTGAAGCTGCCTGTGAAGATCATCAGATGGTTTACTGATCAGATACCTTGCTGATGATTCTTGGTATTCTTGGCGCTTTCCTTAGCTCATTTTGGGAACCACGGGGACATTGGTGTGACCACTTTATATATATATATATATATATATATATATATTTACTGATTAGCTAAATCAGCATAAGGTAGAGCCAAGAATGCTGTTCTTCTTATTAAGAGTTTCATTCCTTGAATCCACTCATGCACAGCATCAGAGTTGTTTGGATATATCCGCAGTAGCAATAAACAGCTTTTAGCGACTTGATTGTAATTGCTTCATGGCATAAATGTTCTACTTGAAGATCTAAAGTGTTAGCGCCATCAAGTTGGTATGAATTTATTTTGTTAAATATCTTTTGAATTCATAGATTCATAATGGTCTGTCTTTAACCACTGTGACAAATATGCAAGCCAATTTTTGGTGTGGGAGAATTTGACGGAGGAGAGCTGTGATTTCTTTGGTCTCTTTAAACAGCATTTGAAAATTTCAAACTTTCTTGAGAATTTGACTAATGAGAAGAATGGTTCTAGAAATAGGTAGGTTGAGGTGATGACCAAGGAACAAAAAAATGTATAGGGAAGAACTACAAGAACTCGTAGCAGCGGCAGCTAATGCAGTCCTTCGTCTTCTTGGAGTGATAATAACCAGTCCTTTTCAGTTTTCGCTACCAAACTCCTGATTGATCTTTATACTATCTATGAGACTGTGGCCTTGTTTTTCTGAAGTGAGGATTTTCATATAGGGCATCTCGTCTCTTGGCATCACCATTTTTTCCAGTGCCAAGGAGGCATGCAAGGACCAAAGAGAAAACTTCATAGAGGAGGTGAAATTGTTACATCTCTCATATGGGTGCCAGGCGCAATTAACTCAGTCCACCGCTGGCATCAAGGTTCACCAAAGAAAAGGAAACTACTCTTTTGATGAGAACCAAATAAATTGTAGGCATCACATCCCTTACTGTCGCAAAATTGAAGCCTCTCTACTGTTTTCCTCTGCTGTATCAGACTATCAGTCATGTGTAACAGGTTCAAATTAAAGAGTAGAAAGTCAAATAAATTTGATAAAAGAAATCTTAACATAAACCAGATAAGCTAACCAGTGGTTGGACAAAATGATGATAGTATTTTACGTTATCCTATGCAAATTATGAAGGTTGGTTAATGGATACACTATTAGTGCCTTGTTCTGGTACATGTAGTGTACCTGCCAAAGTTTAATGTATATGTCTTTTTCATGAAAAGAAGACTCGTGATCAGCAGTCTCATTTTTATTTTTGCTTTGACCCTACCACTTGAACTTTGTTTCCTTTCTATTAATGTTAGTATAGTTGAGGATTTTCTACCAAAAATTTTTTATGTTTTTCGTGAATACATTTCGTGAAATCTGAGGGTTGAATAGAGCCCCAAGCATGGGTTTGAATTGAAGTCCTAACCGTTCAAATCTATGATTTACTTTGATCTGATCAACAATTTACAGAATATTTATTGCTCCTACACCAAGTGCAGATTAGGAAGATTCGACAGACTAGTAGGGAAACCAATCCAATTGCTCATAAATTAGGAAGGCATGGGAGCAATGTTTTTGATTATACAGAGTAGGAGAAGGAGGATCCTAGATTTTTACATGCACTAGTTTATAGCAAGTCCATTGTCTGAAGTAGTTTAAACTCGTTCCTAGTTATGAAAAAAATTATAGAAAGTTTCCAGAAAAGATTTTAACCATTGGCTAGTTGATATAGCAGGAGTGCAAAAATATGAATGTCTTGTCGAAATACCTAATTGGATGCTTAATTGTACTTTATTATCACAGGTGCATTGAACAAAGATTCGAGTCTTAAATCATTATGCATGTGTGGGATCCTTGTGTCCTTCCAACGGTGTACCAAATTGATGTTACTTTGCCATAAAGAAGAAGACGAATAAATTAGAATCAATTTTACTATTTTTCTAGTCTCCGACGGCAACATACTGGAGAAAAATCTAGATTGAAAACTGATGGCTGTAAATTTAGAACAATGGTTGGCCAAAATATTGAAGTCAGCACTCAAACACCTTGCGCCATCGGTACGTTACTATTTACCTTTGACCATTTCAAATGTGACAGGGGAGGATCGGGTTGGTTGGACGGTCAGGTGGGAGGAATTGTTAACTCAACGGATCTTCTATTCTATGTGGGGGTTGGAGGTCAAGGATTCAAATCTTGTCTTCTATCAATATGTTTCTATATAAAATTTGTTCTAAATCTATGCGGGTGCGTGGTGCACTTGTTGCGTGCGTCTGGTGGTGGTTCAGTCCCCATCAGGTTCTTCCGACTCAGTTGGACCACCCTTTAGAGTAGACTCCTCCAGTAGGAGTAGGAGTAGGAGATTGTAAATAGGGGATTTTGATTAAGTATCTCCCGTTTACACAAAAAAAAAAAAAAGGGAGGAAAAGAAGGACTATTTCAGCTGTGGCACAAACTCGTACGAAAGTGAATGTTACAAAAGGAAATCTTACTGCTAGTAAAGCAAGAATATGCATTCCCCTTTGCTTCCACTAATAGCTTAAATTGAATAGGGTCATAAAAGACGACAATCAAATTTACGATATTGTAAACCCTTTTAGAATCAATTGCATAAGATAGGATACGCTAACTGATGACATGTGAAAAAAGGGAACATATGAAATTTGAGAAGCTAAAGAAAGTGTAGTAGTGAAAGTCTGATTAAGATTTGCATCAAGATTCCAAATAAAAGTGTTGGAAATTTATTCAAAAGTCTTTTGAAACTTTTCTCTTGGAACGACACAGCTCTGTCAAATTTGAAAATTTCTAGTGCCTTTCGGGAAAAGATTTTCATTTTTTGGGGTGAAAATTTGGTGTGAGGTAGAATATTTTCAAATTTATGGAAACTGGTATTTTGGGTTTCACTTAAAATATCATGTTCCTATTGATAGACAGAAATGATCCTGGTAATCATTATTCAGCAAAACTGGCCACCGCCTCTCCTGATGGGGTGGGAGGTCAGGGGTTCAACCTTGCCTCCCATCAAATTGTCTGTTCCTTATGAGCAACTCGATTGATCTCAGCAAGCCTCCTTAGGAGCTGGTGTCCAGTGCCCGCAAGGGTCCAAGTCCTGTGGTTATCATATTCGGGGGGATAGAGTCTCTTCTCCCGGACCGAGGTGGGATTAGTCGGGCTCCGTAAGGATTGATCCGGACACCCACTCCGTCAGCAAAAAAAAAACATTATTCGGCAAGGCATAATAATATTATTATCTTTTACCATGTATTTATGTCACGAACATGCATAAAAAATTAACACATAGAACAGAAAATACTCATGTTGCAGAAGGGGTGTGCTTCACCTCGTAAAGAAGCATGCAGTCCCCAAGCATATGGGTTTAGCTTGTGCAAGACATAAATAAGGATGTTGATTTCGACAATAGCTTCATAAGATATATATAACAGGATAACAATAGTACAGACTAAGATGTCAAATTCTCCAGCAATGAATATGAATATATGCAAGCGTTGTTTTCAACTTTTAATAGATTCCAAAAATTGGAAAAGAGAAAAAGGTGCTAGGTAGATTTCACTTTTCCCCTTTTTCTTTTCTTTTCTTTTGCATACCAAGAAATAATAATTATTAACTGATTGAAATGGGAACAGAAAAGGTGAAGTTGACAAACAGTCGTTTGTCAGTAGTTACTACTCAGAACTCAGAAGTTGTTAAATTATCCTGTCAACCACTCTCAGATGTGCCTATTGTTCCGCAGGTGGATTGAAAATTTTAGACTTGATCCACTTTGTTAAGGGAACTAATCGTGCCTTCTCAAGACTTATGAGTACTGTTTTTCCATTAGAGCAGCATCCTTTTCTTTATATTAATCCCACCAAATATTGAATGGTCTGGCATCTAATGCAGAACCTGTGATCATTGCGAGCAAAAGTTGAAGTTCACTGGAGTTGTGCTCTCTGCAGAGGTGATTAACTGCGTCCATTCTTCCCCAAGTTGCTAAAAGGTCGCCTCAATTGATGGCTTGCTTGACCTCAAGGCCATGCAAGCCAAATTTCAACTAATTCATTTCTCAGAACCATTTAAGAAAGGACTAAAAGAGTAGAACAACAGAGATGATTCCGCAAAATGCTCTGTCTGTAACCTGTCATTGTTCAGGATCTGATCTTTTTTTTTTACGGAGACGATAAACCTATTTTATCCTACACTAAGGGGAGGGAGCGGACCTAAAGAGGCCCAAGGGTAATTCGGAGAGGACTGAACCACCATCGGATCAGATGGGTGTACCACGCACTAAGCTTTAATGCTTTTGTGGTGGCCTGGTGGTTGTTTAGGATCTAATCAGGTCCATATGTATTTTAAACATCCAAAACTCAGCGCCTTTGTTTATATTTTATCCCCATCCAAGCGGGAAGGAAGCTCCAGATCTACGACAATATTCATGTAGTATATTTTGGAACATAGCCAAGTTCATGATCCTAATTTGGTACTTGTTTGTGGATAACGTTATTAATATTGAATATGTGATTCAACTTCTTAATCCAGAACAGATAATCTTTTATACAGGAATATTTACCAAAAACTAAGCATTATTCTGTACTTGCATGGTAGGACCAACTCCACGTGAACACCAATTGCAGTTGCATGAGAAGTCAGCAGGCCCCATCTTTCCATTTTCCCCTTTGTTTACCCCATCAAAAATTTCAGAGCCAGCGCAATAATGGCATAAATAGAAAGTCATAAAATAAAAAACACACACATCAAGTATTTTTTTAAAAAAGAAAAAAGAAAAAAAGAAAAAAAAGAAAAAAAAAAGAGAAGAAAACACATATCAGAGCACCAAACTTTCAACACTTTGAATCCCTATATAAGCCCACAATAATCCTCATTTTCATCTCAAATTCTCTGATTTCATCACATAGAGCAACTTGCCTCTATCAACATGAGCTCTGCTCAGAACCTGAAAGCCCATTCCTTGAAACATTGCAAGAAAAGATTGAGCCAAGACCAAGTTAGGCTGCTAGAAGCAAATTTCAGTTCCAACAAGAAGCTTGAACCAGAGAGAAAGCTCCAGCTTGCTCGACAACTAGGCGTTCCACCGCGACAAATCGCGATTTGGTATCAAAACAAGAGAGCCCGGTGGAAGAATCAAAGCCTTGAACTTGACTACGGTGCACTTCAACTGAGGCTAGAAACTGCATTGGCTGAAAAGAGACAACTTGAGAAAGAAGTGGGGCAACTTCAAATTGAGCTGCAGAAGACCAGAGAAAATTTACTTGCTTGTACGAAGCAAGCACAAGAAATTCTTCCATTTTCATCCTTTTCGAGTTGTGGTGACGAAGCTGGAGGCTCTAGTAGCTTGAGCTTGCATGAAGATGTTAGCTGTTCTTGGCAAGACGGCCGTCAGGGCTTGCAACTTGAGGAGCTTTATGCCTGTTTGATGGGATCAGAAGGATCGGCCCGCGGTTCAGTTGGGCGAAATGAAAAAATATTTCTTGTATAAGACAGAAAAAGTGCATCTTATGTTATGATCATCAAATGGTCAAATAAAAGTTAATTAAATACAATATAGATCACTATAGGATTAGCCTTTGCAGGTTGTAGAATCGTGTAAGTGGTGCCCCTAGTGGCTAATGCTGTAGAATATGGAACATGTATTTCCAAACTGAACTTCGTCTGCTAAACTTGTTCTGTTTCATCACTTGATGCACCAATCAAATTTTCTTTAACTTTGTTGCTTTCGCGGTAAAAGGAATAAAAGCTGGATAGGATAGCATACATTTCAGATCAAACAAGAGGGCGAAAAGAGTATAACAGAGGTGTTCTTGCCTGCTAGATCATTCTCTTGTTCCTCAACCTTTAGGCAGCCCCGAATTTTTGTTGAAGAGATTTGACAATGTTTAAAATTAATTTGGATCTCAATATTAATTAGCATATCTACCAGCAGATTGCAAGTCATGCAAAAAATTTTCTCCTCCTTTCGGGTGGCAACTAATTAATTTCATGTCAGTTGTCCCATCCCATCCCAGTTTCTTGACGATGTAACACGAAGATATCTGATAATATTTTTATTTGCCAATTGGGCATGCATCGACTGTTATCGATGATATCTTACTGTCTTTTAAAAGCGATTTGGTCTGCATTATTATTAGCATTGATTAGAGCTAAAATGGGAAACATGTTAGATTATGGTAAAACACTTTCCTTTTCTAGTATAGTAGTGAAGACTTAATTAAGCACTTGCACCTACGCTAATCATCAAAACGTCAATCAACAATTTTTGCAACTCTTACGGGATCCTACGCATTAGTACCATGCACGGAGGATTGTAGTTTATCGTGATATTGAAAGGGTTCATCGTTTGGACACTGATGTATTTGTAACTGGAATTTGTCCCAATAGCCACTCGTTTGATAGATCCAGATCATTTTAGGCTGCTGTCCCGGAAAAGTTGTACCATCACCCGACCTAGTCAAATGCTATGACATTTGAAAATCACTGGGGACTTTTTATCTCATGTTAGGACAATAAAGACGTTCAATACAAGGACTGATTAAGAGGCTCCAGCAGATGCAACTTGGTCTCCCTGGCATGCCAATTTGGAACTTTGTCGCCGGTAGCCGCCTGTCCACCGTCAACAGCCCGACTAGTTGGGAAGAAAATGAGTCTCAAGTACATGACAAGATAGCATTAAAGTGGGGGATTTCTTCCCTTGAACAGAGGATGGAGGAGACTTTGGGGGTTAAGGGGTCACAATCACGGTGGCTATGCAACAAATTAAATGGCTATGGCCAGCCTTCATTTAATCTTGTTTCACATACATGCAAAGCATATCATGTGTGGCATGTGTCTATCTTATATTTTGAGTTTTAACGTGTAAGCAAAGATCAAAGGGTAGACAAATTGCAAGTAGCTCTCATGAAGTTGATTAATTTGACAGTAGCCTCAACTGCTACCTAAGAGTAGCTCTTATGAGGTTTGAAGATTTCAAAGTCAGAGCCATCCAGCTTAGTTTGCTTTCTTCTTGTTGGTGCAGAAGAATTGAAAGCAGAAGCTATCCTTGTAAAATATGGAGCTCTTGAGTCTCGTATCACTGGCACTAGAAGTAATATTTTATGGTTCAGTGATACGTTTTGCTGTAATGCAGCCCAATTGCACGCTGGCTGGAGGATTCTCTATCCATTCCTATGATTAGATTATTTGGATAAATAACCCTTATCATTGGATAGGCGCTACAACTGGGGGAGACATACAAGATCTCCATTGGCATGTTGCAACAAACATATGACGTAATTAACCACGTTATTAGGTCAACACGAAAATCGAGGCCAAAACTAGACAAAGCAAGAATCATAAAAAATAGGTTTTAGGTTTTAAAATATCTTCAATGTCTATGAATCGCTATATCGTTGTAGATCTCTGCATGTATTCTAACCATCAAAATTAATAAAAAAAAAAAAAAAACTGTTTCAAATAGCTTAACGAGCGGGTGATGTTAAATCATCATTGGCAATTCAAAGTAGACAAAAGCAAGAATTGAGCCCAAATGCAGACAAAGCAAGAATCATAAAAAATAGGTTTTAAGTTTCAAAATATCTTTAAGGTCTATGAATCGCTGTATCCTTGTAGTAGATCTCTGCATGTATTCTAACCATCAAATTGAATAGAAAAAAAACTGTTTCAAATAACTTAGTCAATGAGTGATGCTGAATCATCATTGGCAATTCAAAGTTTTATTTTCTTCGGCTCTAGGGAGATTTCAAGCTTTGAAGAAGGTAAAACAAAAGAAAGGGAGAAAGATTTGGAATTAAATTACAAACTTTAGGGGTCACCTGATTAATATTACAAATCAATTTAAACCTCGAGGATGAGAAACTGTCCTGCCTCTATTAAAGGGCCAACCAATGTGTCCGTTAGCCCAATATCAGAGGTCATAGAGCAGTAGGCTCGCCATGACCTTCACATTTCGGCGGATTGGGCTTTTGACAAAAGCCCAATAATTGAAAAGCCTCATCACAAGCGACGGACTTGACATCAGGTACGCCTGCAGAATTTGCACCTTAGCCTACGGTGTGTTTGAAAGAATTGAAGTCTGAAAATTAGAATTCAAAATGTGAATTTATTAAATTATTGAATTGTTAAATATTAAATTCAATACATATGAGTGCATATCATATCCAGTAATAAGTGAATAGATTATCACTTAATTTTAGGAACAATTTTTACCTAGAAAATTCAGTGCCATTTAATTAATTCGGATGTTCAATTTTTTGTTATCAAATGCTTCTAAACACGTTAAGATCTGTATCCATTAAATTTAAGTGCTGAATGGAGTTATCAAACAGAGTCTTACAGGAATGGAATTGGGGTTCGAAAAAGTTAACGGCTATGATTTGAACCCCCAAAAAGAATTTTAAGACTCAAATTACATATTGTACATCCACTTTAATATCAAGTACGGGACTTCCGAAATTTTGTTATAGTTTTACAAGTGGTTGAAAATGAATTATATTCTGAACAAAGTGAGTTACATCCGACGAAATTGAAACAAAATCAGTCCAACGATTTTTTGACAACGGTTTGGACCGTCTAGTAAAGTGGCAAATATTGGAAGTGTAACATATCATCAATTCATTAATCATGGGAGTCACTCTAATGATCAGGAAACGGCTGTTAAAGTTTTTTTTTTCCCGTTAAATTCAGAGTTCAAATTAATTCTGGGCCTGTTAGTGGTGAAAAAGGTCTGAAGATGATTCCAAAAAAAAAAAAAAAACCTTTATTCGAGAAAGGTGTGAGGGTTTTTTTTTTTTTTTATTATTATAAAAAACCCCCTTGTTTATACTTTATATATCATCTCCTCCCTCGTTCAGCTGTTGCTTTCCCTCCAAAAAAGAAGCTGGTGAAGCCTGGAAATTGGCACATCCAAATTAAAAAATATATGTAGTAATTATCTTTTGAGTGCGAATTAATTAAAAGATGGCGTCGACCTCAGCTCCTCATCGGAGCAACGCCGGCGGCTATAGCAGAATGAAGTCGGCAGCATCCAAGCTTTACAACGACAATCAATCTCTTATAGCTGTAATTACTTCTCAAATTCTCCGAACCCTACTATCAACAGCAACGCCCCCCCTCCCCCCAAAAAAAACCATTTTTCTTTTCTTATCTGTTTTTCTCCAATACGTAAAGATATTTTCTCAATTTTTTTGTTTTCGTTGCAGGAAATGAGGAGGGCTTTTAATATGATGAAAGAAATTGCGGTTGATTTGGAGAAAGATAAGAAGTCCGATTTGGTACATCTTTTTTATAAACCTTAGTTTTTTTTGCTTCTGATGCATATAGAATGTGAATGTCGTTGTTAATGGTTTAGCTACATAGTTTAATAAAAAATGTAACAGTCCCCAAAATTAATATCAAGTAGTTTTTTTTTTTTTTTGTTTTTTTAACATTTAAGCATGTTGAAGCTGCTGGGGAGGTCCATTATAGATTTCCTTAGCAAATTCACTAAGTTGGATGGATTAGTTTGCTGATTTTGAACTTCAATAGTGATCTGGTTAACCTTGTCAATAAATGCAAATGCATGGTCGCTGAACGAATTTTAAATGTTGTTGCATAAAGCATGATTTAAGGTCTAGTGTTTGGAAAGGTCTGTTGGTGTAATTTATGCATATTAGAGCAGTTGATTTTGAAGGATGTATGTGGCTAAGCGTCAATGAACAATGGGATATAAACATAAGATTCTGAAAAGTTGATGAAGCAGAACAAATTCCAATTACGTGATAGGTGCATTTGTGCAAGATGGTGGTCCTTTATTTTTGATATCTGATGAAGTCATTTATCAAATGAAACCTTCTTAGAGGTATTTACAAACTTTCTTCTCACAAGTTCTTAGGGAATTGGTTTTCAATATTGACACAGGTTAAAGAGCTTGAAAATGGAGTAGCAGAACTGTTAGAAGCTTCTGATGACTGCATGCATCTTTCAACTGCTATTCTGTCTGTTGGAAATGAGTACCGACCCAGGCAGGAGGTATATCTCTTGCTCTAATCATAAATCTCCTTTTAAGTCATTGCAGTGACAAAATCTGTTCACTTTTTTTCACTTCACTGGTCATCTATCATGCTCTTTGAGAAGCAGCTAACGGATTTTAAGAAGTTACTGGATGATGAGATTACAAAATCAAAGGCAACTTCATCATCAACTTCACAAAACCATCAGTTTTTACGACAATTTAGGGAAGCTGTCTGGGTATGTCTATTTACTATAGAATTGTAATCTTAAAGCATGCTTTGTATCCACTCTGTGCTATTATCTTCATCTCTTGTTCAATATAACTGCAATTACGAAAGTGTCATGCACTTGATTGTAATTTACATGATTACCAGCCCTTCCTGCAACTGTGTGATATGCAAAATGATGCTCATGCGACATTAAGGTATACTTGTGCAGTCTATCACTCTACAGCACATGCAAATTATGAAGTTAAATTACTTAAAAAATTTTGTTCATTTTTTGGTCTTGTATGACGCTTGGCCTTGCTTCATTGTTGTTTTTCAAAGCGCCCCTAATTGTTAGTCTGTTACAGAGGTTTTTCTTCTAGTTTTTAACTCTTGAATACTCTTGGGAATGTCCTACATATGTATATATGTTTTCCTTGTCATAGTATAAGCTTTTTTTTTTTTTTTTGGCTGGGCAGAATGTTCATCATTCAGGCATCCCAATGCCAGGTGAGGAGCAGGAGGACATTGTGATGACCAGTACTGAAAGCAATATTCTCAACAAAACTTGCCCAGTGACTGGGAAGCCAGTCACTGAACTAGCAGACCCAGTGCGAAGGTCTCTGAGTATACCTCTCTTTTCCGTCTATAGGAGTGGTCAAATATATATAATTATTGTTAAATACTAAGATAATAGAAATTTCTATGTTTTGTCTCGCTATCTGTGGTCGGATGAATATGAAGTCTGGGCAAATGCATCTCTACATTTCTACGTGTATTCTAACAAAAACTGTATTTATTTATTTTTGACTATGATTGTATGACCTGGCTAATTTTTTACTCTTCCTCTGCAATGAGACATTATCTTTGTGTACCATCTCATGGAAGCAGCATAATATTTGATCCATCCAGCCTTGCCGGTTAAAGGCTGCAGTATTGTTGCAAAATATTGGCATAGCATTCCTATTCTTGCTTGATGAGGAGAGTTATACTGTTGGTATTGCTTCTGTAGTGGAAGAAGTTTTGAAACCAAAGCCATACATATGCTGATTCATGGTTAATGAACTGAATGTGTATCAACCAATTACAGCACTAGTATATTGCACATTTTTATTTTTGTTATATCATTTTTGAATTACATGCCGAGGGAACCCACATGGACTGAGTAAAAGGAAAAGACTGTGGCAGATGGGATTACAAATTTAGATTGAAGTTGAAGGTTTACCATCTTTTGTGTGTGCCTTGTTAGGAATCTCATGCAAGTGGTCTGGTTCTTATTGCCATAAGTACTCCTTGATTGCAAATCAGCTCCTCAGATTCATAACAAGCGTCAGTGATGGTTTTTGTTATTATTTTCTGAAACTGAATTGTTTTGGCTGCAATAAGACGTGGAGGGCTGATAGTTTTTCCTTGTATCGTTTATTCTGCTATCTATTTGTTTGACTTCATTCTTTTATCCATTGAGGCAGCATGGACTGCAAGCATGTTTATGACAAGAACGCTATCATGTATCACATGAGATCCATGAAATCCAACTGCCCTTGTCCTGTAGCAGGTATTTACTTCCATATCTTATGTTGCAAGTATTATTATGTTACTTTGTTCCTTCGTTCCTTTGTTCTTTATTCATATTCCTTGGGTTTACCTGGATGTTTCTTCTTGCAGGTTGCCCTAAAGAGTTGCAGGTGCAGAGATTGATATGTGACCCTCTGTTGTTAGTAGAAATTGAAGAAATGCGCACAATGAGCAAAGGAGCTGCTCAACCTGGGGTTATAGAAGATTTTACTGGGTGACGCAAAATGACCTATCAAGGTTTGGTAATGGTAGCAAGATTTATTAGTTTCAGATGTTTCTTCCAAACTCCCTGAAATTTCCCGATCAAATTTTGAAACTGTAACGTAGAATGTTCCTCTGTCACTTTGACAGTGATGGAGGTGTTAAAAACTTAAAAAGGCCTTATTTTTCTTGTTTGGTGCTTTTAAATCTGACTAGCAGTTTCAGGATGGGTAACTGACAGTGTCTTTGGTTGTATATTGCCAACTTCATGCACTTCAGTTTGAAAAGAGAGTCTGTCCATCACGGGCACGTTCAAGATCGAGCAATCGGGGTACGTTGGCTGTTTGGTAAGGAAATGCCACGAATAGATTTTCAGCCCTACACTCGAATAATTGTGCCTCGGTAACCGCTCAGATCAAAGCTACTTTCTATTCGTCATTCAGACTTCTTAGTTAATAAAGACATTATTAATCTAAGATATTGTGTGCACCAGATCCGTATAAGTCAATCCTTTTCTTAAAAAAACCAAAAAAAAAAAAAAAATCATAACCAAATCTATATCTATATGTATTCAGGAAGGGATTTTTAGCAGAAACCCTCTCAATGCCTTCTAAACTTGTCATACTTTTTTCTAGATTTTTGTATTTATTTTAATACATAAAAAAGTAGTCGGTTATAACCCACCTTATCACCAATCAATATTCTCACTATCCCACTATCACCAATCAATATTCCCACTATCCCACTATCACCTTATCACTAATCAATACTCCCACTGAGTCCCACTATCTCACTCCCACCATCCCACTATCTTAACTCATATTTTTGTATTTATTTTAATACGTAAAAAATTAGTGGGTTATAATCCACCTTATCACCAATCAATATTCCCACTATCCCACTATCACCTTATCATCAATCAATATTCCCACTATCTCACTCCCACCATCCCACTATCTTAACTCATCCTACAATTACTCCTACAAATTCTTCTTTTACTGATCGACTTAATTAACTTATCGAGTTAATTCCCTCACCCTCTCTCTCAATTTCTTATTTGTTTTGGGTTCTCTATTGATTTTGTAAATGTATTGATTTTGTTTCTTTTGTGAGCAGTAGTGGAAGATATTATGTGCAGAGACTCCAGCAGAAATCAACCTTCTTGCGGCCGGCTTAATTTTCCAGGTCAGTCCCCTCTGTCTTTTAAGTATGTTTTGCTTTTGCTTTGTTTTTTGTCATGAATGATATTGCATTGATTTTCTGATCATCCATTATTTCTGAAAATTTTTTACAAAATCTTATGAACGGTTGTTTGCTTATTGTTACACTGTAAAGCAAAGATAAAAAGGTATTGCTTGCTTATATAATTGCGGATGGTATAAGTTCATGATTAAGGGTTCTACTATTTCTAACATAAATTGTATATTATAAAAATTTATTTGTTTGTATTACTGAAATTTTTTTAATTATTTTTATTGCACATTTATCACATAAAATAGGTGTTATGATAGTTATTTTCATAATTTTATTCCAAAAATGATCGTGCATGAAATAAAAAAAAAAGATTTTTTGATAATTAAAAAAAATAATTAAAAATGGTTTATAATTGGAGAAAAACAATTCAGATACTACTAATAACTAAGACACTATACGTCCATTATTAAAATTGGATTAATTTTTAATTTCGTCAGAAATCCTTTTGGCAAAATTGCATTCTAGCCTTTCTTTTCTTTATCAACAATGACAATTACAACTACGTGATTCATCTATCTAGCAACAGCACAATTCAACTCATGGAATAAATAGTTCATTGCTTAAAGTACTTAAACGAAAGGTTAGAGCCAAGTCCTACTTAACACTTGCAAGTAATATATTACAATTAGAAAAAAGAAAATGATTCAAGAGGAGCAAAAAACTCACCAAGCCCCTGACATATGTGCAATCGTCAAGGCACTTTTGAGCATTTAAAACTACATTCCTTAGTTCAGGTAACCACTTCTTTGTAATTGTTTTCATTTGATTACAATGCAATTCTATTAAATTCTATTGATGCTATTTCTATATTAATTATTATATTTTTTTGGTTAACAGTTCTCATACAATGTATCATTATTTACACATAAAATAAATACATAAACTATTGATTTTTAATTTAATATATATTTTATTTCTAGATCAAAGAAATGAGAAATCTAACTATCCTCGAGATCGCCAGGCATCCACATCACCAATGATTTTGCATGATCATGGTAAATATACAGTTTCTTATATCGTCATACTCATCTTACATACTCACTTTTTGGCTGCACTATCTTGCTAAATCAACTATAGATACAATACAATACAATTGTATTACAATTGTTCGATTACAATACAATTATATTACATTCTATTGATGCTATTTATAGACAACTTAACAATTTTATAGATTAGCAATTTATTTTATTTTATAAATTACCAATTACTACATGTACCAAAATATTTTTATATAGGGATTGCTTCTTTAACTATGGGTGCTAATAACAATTCAATTGGTGCGTATTTTTCATTTGATTACAACACAATTGTATTAAATTATATTGATGCTATTCTATATTAACTATTGTATTTTTTTGTTAACAATTCTCATACAATGATAAAAAAAATTCTCATACAACCGAAAAAAGACGGTTCTTGAATGATATATACATTCTATTATATTTCAAATTATTGTTAAATAGATATTATATTTTAATTTTATTGGTAAAATTTTTTCACCTTTATTTGTTCACAATTTTATTTTTTTTCAATAATGTCAGCACCGTGCATAGCACGGGTATTCCCACTAGTATAAAAGTAAGGATACTAGTATTATTTTGCGTGTTTTTAAAAGAAGTGATTGATTTATTCACGACTATGTAATATCTTTCTCACTACATCAATGTAAAGATTAAAATGGTTACATATGTGTCAAGACTTAAATTTGAGGTCACCTCAAAATTGGCTACCATAATTATGGCAGTCATCGGCGCAATTTTCAGCAATTTATAGTGGTTATTATAATATATTACTATTATAGGTCGGAGTCTTTGACTGTTGGTAGTGAGATTCGAACCTTCATTGATGAAAGCTATAATATGTGATTTGAATAAATGAAACATTTATTTCATCCTAAAAAATGGAATAATATCAGAAACTTCCCTTGAGATTTTTCTCAATATCACATGACACTCGTAAAGTTTTAAAAAGATCACTTGCCTTCCTTACTTCTGTTACTAAATTTTTAAAAGTCCTAAACGACCCTTTCACCTGCTAAATAAAAATATTTCTAAATTACTTTGTTAATTTTAAGAAACCATCATCTAAAAACTAATCTCTTGTGGTACTATCACGTCATAATGCTATATCCCATAAAAATATAAATTTGAAAAATAAAAAAAAGATATTTGAAAAGAAATGCACTTGCACTAATTTAATTCTATATGGTCAAAATCGATTTCTTATGAACTTTTATATTTTTTTCAACATCTTCTCAATCCTTGCCCAAATTATTAAATTGTACTAATCATCATAAAAGTCAACTCAAAATAAGCAAATAAATCATACCTCACTTTATCACAATCACAAAATAAAAGATAAACAAAATTGAATTTATTATAATTTATAAATAAAATATTGCATAATCATCCAAAAAATGAGTAATAGAGAATGATGTAGAAAAGGGAAAGTGAAAAAAGTGACTTTAGTTTTTTTTATAAAATTTTTGAAGAGAATGATGTATACCCACTAGCCCCTATCACAGTCTCCTTAGGCTTCCTCTCTTCCTAGATTAGGATAGAATAGATTATACAAATGTATCGTTGCTGATAACAAAAAAAATTTTTTAAAAAAAAAGGGAGGGGAAGGGTTAGGTTGGGTGGTATGGGGGGAGGGAGTGTAAGTGAGAGGTCTCGGGTTCGAGTCCTCTTGCTTACACTAAAAAATAAAAAAAAAAATTATTTGATATGTGAATTATGTGTCAAATAAGGGTTAATATAGTCTCTTTCTAATTATTAGGGAAGGTAAGTAATATTTCAAAAACATTAGGGGCGTCAAGTGATATTAGGAGAAACCTTAAGCAAGGTTTCTGATATTATTCCAAAAAAAAAAAAAAGAAGAAGAAGAAGAAGAGAGACTCTTAGAACCTGAACCTGAACCTGAACCTTATTACGAGGGAGTCCACAAGCTGAGCCACCATTAAAAGGCAAAAAATGTCCTGAGCCACCCGGCCCTCCCCATGAGCCTGGAGCCGTCAAATTGTTCTGGAATTCTGAGACTTCCTCGGCGCTCAGCGGACACTAAATTGACATGGAACTTCTACCGTGAGACTGTGAGAGTCAAATAAAAGGAAAAAAGGGCCTTTCCTAAACCCACACTCCCCGGTACTAAAACCCCCCCAATTTGGATAAAACAGGGTCATCATCCAGATGACGTTTCCAAGATTTTCTTCGTTAGTCCGTCGTGCTCCTCTTCTATCTCCCGTACTTCCACCTCTCTCAACACTCCCTTCTCTTCACCCCAAACGCAGCATTAGCCTCGGAGCCTCTGCTTTCATGGAAAAAGAAGAATCCACCTCTTCACCAATCCAAGCTTCTGCTCCCCTCAAAATCAACCGCTGGAAGCCCTTATGTTTGTACTACACCCAAGGTAAGTGTACTAAGGTGAGCCCTTTTGCCCTTTTGCTGCTTTTAGTGTAATAGTTCCCTATGATTTTTCTGTCTTTTATAGTATTTCTGTTTTGTGCTTTATCTGGAAAAACTTTAGTAAATTTTATGGTTTTTCCCCCTCTTTGGATAGACAGATGACCCTGTTCATTTGGGGAAGTTTAACCATAATCTCTCATCTGGGCTTGGGTTGGAAACATGTCAGTTGGAGAAGCTGAAGTCCCAGGAGTTCGATTACTTTCTTGTGCTTGATTTGGAGGGCAAAGTGGAGATTCTTGAGTTTCCTGTGCTCTTACTTAATGCCAAAACCATGAATTCCATCGACTTCTTCCACAGGTTTCGTTAAAAAAAATTATAAAAAATTTAAATTACTGCTTTGGAAACATGACCCCGTGTAATGTTGTGGAAATATCCTTCTTGTTTTACATTAGTCCCTTTAGGTATTAACTTTACATGAGCTCATTCTAAGGCAGTCTATCAACACTAGAATAGTTGACATGGTTGAAAACCAAAAAAAATGATCCATTGGTTTATGTACTGCAATAATGAGGAATTTGATTCGGTTAGTGATTTGACTTTGAGTGTAACTGTGAAGAAGTTTGCTTCATACGTCGAAATGATTACTGGATTCATGTTATGGGTGTTTGCATCTAAATGGATTTATTTTCGTACTTGGAGTTTGTCTTTTTGATAAAATGGGTTCTACTGTAACAATAGCTTGATATAGCTGGTAATGTGAGTGGGATACATGTGAAAGTAATTAGGAGGATGTAGGATTTGATATTTGGTATGGAAAACTTTCCTTTGCAGTTAAGGACGTAATATCTTCACCGTCCAAAAAGGGGACTTGGGGAAAGTAAATGGTAAACCATGGATGGAGTATATTATGGCTAGTAAATTTATCTTGACACCTTACGGTGCTAATTGTTTGCTTGTTAGCAAAATTTGTTTAATTTTTATGTGATGAGTGTGATTTTAAATGATTAATGCTTCTTCTGGTTTTCCTAAACTTTTGACAGGTTTGTGAGGCCTTCCCAGATGGGTGAGCAAAGAATAAATCAGTACATTGACGGAAAATACGGAAAACTAGGAGTTGACAGGTACATTACTAATTCTCTGTCCAAGTCGCTAAACTTAGTTTACTTGCTGGCCTGTTTGATTCAGCTGATGCTATTTTATATCTGTTGAATCTATTACCTGGGCTTGTCCGGTGAATCTTGATTCTTGATAGTTTTTTTTTTGGACTGATGATATACTTGATTCACCAGATGAATGCTCTGTTATCTAAATACTTGATTCACCGGTGAATCTAGTGATTTCACTTGTATATCCATTTGCTTTATTTCGGAGTTTACTCATTGTGGATTGATGTATTTGTCAAACTATATTGCAATTGAAGGAAAGGTTGCTATAAATTTGAAAATTCAGTTGCATAACTTGTTCACTTACACATTGGTATTTCTTTTTCAAGGACACACGTTGGTAGCTTTAATATTTCATCTTCACATTATAATTTCCAACCATGAATCTTACTTGGACTTAATTTTTCTTTTCCTAAAGCATGTTTGTCCTATTTTTGATGAGATTAGAATTTCATTTCCCAGAGATTATGCTACCCCCCTACCCCACCCACAAAAAAAAAAAAACCAAAAAAAAGGAACAAGTATACTATCTTGAGCCATTTCATGGTTCTTTATTTATGCAGGGTTTGGCACGATACTGCCATCCCATTTGATGAAGTGATTCAACAATTTGAAGAGTGGTTGGGTAAGCATCATTTATGGGTCAAAAAGCCAGGTGGTCGTCTAAATAGAGCTGCATTTATAACTTGGTAAGTTGCTTGTCTTAGTGATGTTGACATAACCCTTGAGTCATTTTTATCAATGCCCTACTTCGCTGGATCAAATTGTCATATTTTATCAATGCCTTCTGAGAGGTGTAGAATGAACGCCTATGAATTCTGTTGAATGGATAAACTTTGTTTTTGTACTTTAACTTGTTATTTTTTTATGAACATTCAGATGTTAAAAGTTTGAAACTGTGAGAGCCTAATAACATATGGGTCCTCTGCTGAACTCCAAAAGCTCCTTTTTAACTTGGAAAAAAAAACTTTGTTTGTAGCATTCTATTTCTCTTTTGATTCCCCTATCATTTAGTTTTAAAGTGTTGATGATATTGTTGAGGCCTACATTACTTAATCAGAAAGGATAAATATGATCCTAAACAAACTCATAAAACCACTAGGATTTTGGAGATGGAGAATAAACAGGACTTGATCCAGTCTGAAAAGGAGTTGCAATGCTTGTTAGGTTCTGAAAACAAAGCAACATTCTTTAGTTTTTTCTAATTAACTATGTATTGTTGGTTTACATGTACCAGCGGAAATTGGGATTTGAAGACAAAGATCCCTGCGCAGTGCAAAGTATCAAGGATGGCACTTCCATCATATTTCACCGAATGGATCAATCTAAAGGACATTTTTTTGAACTTTTATAATAGAAGGGTGAGTTTGCTGTACTTACACATTTCTGATTTCGAAATGATTCCCTTTGGATTCAGCTGACTCAGTGAACCATAGGTTGGCATGATTTAGTTGTGTGACCGCCATGTTACTGTACAATTTGCTTTCAGAGAACGTTGCATTAGTGTGAGATTGGCTGTGTGTCTGTGAGTTTATGCATTTTATAGAGTGTTTCATCTCAGCCCAATGCTCG